GCGTAGAACGAATCGAGATGAATAATGTCCTCTACCATTTTACAAACAACACGTTTCGAATTATTAATTATTGAAAATGGCCGTGTATAGAAACTTCCTTGATTAATAACTTAAAAACTTGCGTGTTATGTGCAAGATGGTATGATTTTTATTTGCACTCGCCCCGATCCGTTCTACGTTCTCACGAAATTCGTCCTCGTGGCTCTGAGACATCCTGTATATATAATCAAAGAATTAACACAAATATTGTTAGAATTTGATGATTTCCGACTTTGATAATGTAGGTGACTTATTTGCTTCTATATATATTACTTGCATTATTAAAGTCGATACGTGACTTCATAGGAACTGATGGTATAACCTTAAATAGATCCGACGACTAGTTATGGTCGACCCGAACTGAATCATGAGATAGATTTCCAGTCGGGCACCTGATGATGGTCGTCATCGTCGTGTCTTCGAGCGCAAACGAGCATCGTCGAGAGAGCAGATGGACGGACGGACGGCCACTTGCGTAACAGCGCATCGCGACGGTTGCGAGGAGGCAATTCCGAGGAGCTGCTTCTCGGAACAAGTTAGGGGAATTGTCAAAGACGATGGCTCGTTAAGAGAGAGATGGATGGATGAGCGAAGAGGGGGAGAGAAAGCGAGAGAGGACGAGCGGAGGTCGCGGGGTCAGCGCGAGGTCGCCGCTCAAGTGCCTTGTATTTGGCATCGTACGAGGAGGAGAGAGACCGTTCGCTCGTTCGCAGAGGGTTGCCCGTTGCGTCGAGTCGTAACTACGCTCGGAGGCGAACTCCGACAACAACAACGACTATGATGAGGAGGACGATGACGGCGGACGCAAAATGCGGATCGCCGCAGATTGCGCGAGGAGACTGGAGGCTTCCTCTCCATCTTCTCATCATGAAATGAAAACAAGCCCGCCGTGGTGCGCCATCCACATCCGCGTTCCTGCCCAGAAGTGTGTGTAAATTTGGTAGCAACTTTATTAGTGGATTCGCAAAGGTCGCGTCCCTCATGAGCGGTTCGTATGACACTCGTGTTCGTGGCATAGAATGACAAAGCGGAGGTACGAGGAAGCGTGCACGACAAAAATGGTCAAGATTCCCCAGTTGAAATTTTTATGCTACGCTGATAGAAAATTATAGTTATTTTCGATGCCAACCATAGCCACTATTTTTTCACTTTAATCGTGGTGAAAATAGGAGAACCATTTTTCTAGTAAATGTTATTATAGTGTCAGTGATAATAATTTTACATACGTACAAAGTCGAAATTTTGACTCGGATTTATTCAAAAGAAAACGTCACGTGAGATGCAATATGAAAATCTGAATGTAATTTTTCGTATTTGTTGCTATGCATTAACAAAGCGCGAAATTGAGAATATTCAAATGTATGGTTCAAATTTAACGAGTTATTAAATACAGTATACTTGCTTCATAAATGTAACGAAAACGAAAAATTACAAAGCTTCCACTGCCGAATATCTCACGTTGCGATAATCATAAAATCTATCTGAGTATTCACTCTTTTTCCTTTTCTCCCTCTCGCTCTTTCTCTGACATGCGACCTCATTTAAAAAGCACGAAAAATATTATTAAAATCCACCCAAAAGCAAAGCGTCACGTAATATATAATATGAAGCTTAGAGTAGCTCTTAATAAACATATCAAAAAAATTACATTACTATATGAAGTAAATTAAATGTGTATATGATTAATTAAATATGTCAAATTTACTTCATCATAAAGGCAATTAAGAAATTGCAAAATTCCCGTAATTGATTGTCTCACTTGTCGCTAATGAAAATCGATCTCTTCTTCCTCTCTCTCTCTCTCTCTACACTCCACGACGTACGACCTGCTCCCATTTAGTCGCGATCCTCAAAGGTCGCGGAGATACATCCGCTGATTGATTCGGCCGAGCGATGGCCGGCCGCTATCGGCTGACGTTATCGTATGTAAGCCGGCGTTGCGGGCGCGATGTCTCGAGTGGGTATGCTTGATTCATGGACACGCGATATTGTTCTCGATCGTGTCGCCACAATGTGCTCGCCGATGTTTCCGACCGGAGCGCAAGCGGCGTGCCTGAGCGCGCGCGCTTAGTACGGCCGGCCGAATGGATGTCGACCCAGATCGGAGGGAGCTAAATTACACCGTGTGTCCACATCCGCGGCTACGGGAGATTTGTGGTTTGAAAAAGCGGCCACGACCGGCCGGTCAGACGGGAAGGGGCGCGCGCGATGAGAGGCGAGAGGAAATCTGGGTCAATTCGAGGCGAAGCCGAATCGCGAAATTAATAAACAGCTTCCAAGCGAAATCATTTCGGAAATTCGTACGAATTCAATAATGAGTCATCGACGATCTCCCCCTTCCTCCCTCTTACGCCCCCTCTCCTTCTCTCTCTCCCTTTTGCTCTCTCGCGCACCGATGCGCGTAGCTTCGCAGCTCTATGGCCGAAAAATTCCCCACCCCGTCGACGAGGTCATCCCCACTCGAGCATCGGAGCATACTTTAATATCTCGGTTTTCAATTTTTGCGGGAAAAGCTTTTCGATTTTTGTTTTCCAATTTTCCGAAAAAAAAAAAAAATACTATATTCCACGGAAGAATTTCTTACTATATTTCCGCACGTTCCCTCCCTCTTTCTCTCTCTCTCTTCTTCTTCTTCCTCTTCGCATCGTTAGCGAGCGAAACCGCAACAGCGGACGCGCGGCGTTAACGTCGGATAAATAGCGCGCGTCGAAGAAAAGCGGTAATGTACAAGCGATACGGTAAATGGATCGCGAGAAGAGGAGGGGGGGATGAACAGGGAGAGAGACGGCGCGGTGCAGCGCGTCGAGACGCCACGCTGACCGATAATTGCGTCTTTCGTTCTCTCCGCCGGTGCGCGGCGATCCGCCCTGCAAGCGCGCGCGCATGACCTACCGCAACGATATATATTTCGGAACGACGCTGCCACTTACACGAACGGCGCCCCCCTCCTCCCCCTCCTTATCCCACAGTCGCGTCGACTTCCGTCGCTCGTCGAACGAGACGAACCACGTGAAACGCGATGCGTCTCGAGGAAGTGCCGAGAACGACGAAATTCTCCGCGAAAAGAGCGTCTTCCTCCCCCTCCCCTCTTCCCCCCTCGCCCCACATCACCTCGACGGGTTTCCCGCGCTTCGGCTATTTCTCTTCGGCTGAATACTTCCGCGAAGGAGCGCGATCGCGCCTCGGAAAAATTAATTCGACGCCCCCGACTTAACTTAGACGCCCCCTGTTCTCCCTCACCTCCCCCCCCTCCCTCGTGCCCACTACCGCCGGCGCAACTTTTTAATATTCAACTTGAAATAACTTTGTAACATTTTGAAATTAAAATTTCGAGTCGGTAGTTAAAATTGGTTGCCCTGGTCGGTCGTTCTGCGGCTTTTTTGCTCTGTCTTTCTCAATTTTTTTTTTGTTCGTCCCTTCTTTTTTTCCCGCGGCCGGTGTATTATGTATATCAAACTTTTTCGCCGTTAATAATAGGAGTTAATGTTTTTGCGCTCGATGGAACTCGCGTAAAGGGGTGAAAAATTAATTTCGCCATTACGCGGTCCAGAATTGCGGGATTAGCGAATTACGTTCTTCCTTGTTTTTTCCTTCTTTCATCCCTTCGCTACCCTCCCCCCTTCTCCCCGCTCTGATAACTTCGACCCTCGCGTTACTCGGAGCGAGTTATGCCGTTGCATCGGTTATTTACGGTGAGCATGTAAATTTTATATATTAATTATACTGGCGGGACAGGTGAGCGAGCGAGAGAGGGAAAGAGGGGATGGAGCGGGCGAAAGAGTCAGAGACTCGTAACATCGCTCTACTGCTGAAGTATTTTATTCATTTTGCAAAGTGTGTACACATAACTACGGGTAATGAAGTCGTATTCATATTCACCGCGTGGCTAGTATATTTACGCCAGCGGGGCGAGTAGAAACAATGCAAAAACCACGCCGCTTCGACGCTCGAGCGGAGAGGGGAAAAAAATCTTGATTACTCCGCCCGCGTTTCGCCGTCTCGCGGCGGCTGCAAAAATTCCGCGTCATGTCCGCCGTCGCGTCTATCTCCCTTTCTCCCTCTCTCTCTGTTGCTCTATCTCTCAATCGTGTACGTATCCCACCGTGCTCCTCTTACTCGAGTATCAAACTATAACTCTCGTAAATTAAGGAGAATGCGCTTCGTGGCGGCACTCACGGCAACTCCAAGTGTCGGCGCGTCTCGAGAGCGCAAATTCACCGAACGCCACCCTCGCGCATTTGTTTACGATATGTCGACGGAGACTAAGAGAAAGAGAGAGAGAAAATATTTCTTACCATGCACTCTCCGGCATAAATCATATCAAGTGCGCAGAAATACAAGATAAAAAAGAGAAAATAAAAAATTCCTGTAAATCATTCTAATAGTATAATCATGCTAGTAGTAAGCACAAATAGCACTAATACTAACCTTCCATCACAAAATCACATACAATATTTATTGCATATGTTGCATATGTTGATGATTTAGAGAAAGTATCTTTTACTACACGACCTGAGATTGTATATAAATCCCCTTCAGCGCTAGAGAGAGAAAGAGAGAAATGCAGTTTCCTGTATAATTGCCATAAACGCACCAATTACTTGATCGTCACATAAGTGAAGAGAATTGGAGAGAGCGAGACAGAGAGAGACAGAGAGAAAGAAAGAAAAAACGGGGAAAATGGCAGGCAGCCCTTAAACACAGCGTGCGCGGTCGGCAACCGAAGGGTTAAAGTTGCCGAAAAGAGAGAGAGAGAGGAAAGCCGCGTGGCGCAGCGCAATACAGCGCGTCGAGCCGCGTCTCGCGGCGCCCTAGAGCTCTGAGAGAGCGAAGCGAAACGGACCGCCGGCGAGACTCGCGGCGCGTTTGTGCGGGCGGCAGTTTAGTTCGCGGTGTCGCCACGGGTCACGGCGGCGCTGCGCCAGCGGCGCGATCCTCAGTCCGTCACGGGGTCGCGAGGGGTACGCATTGCTCTCGTCGATTGGCCGTACCCGGGTTCTCTCTCTGCCGAGAGAGAGAGAGAGAAAGAGGGAGAGACAGCGAGCGGAGAGTCGCGACGCGCGAAAAGCACACGCGCGTTTGACAGCGCGAGAGACACGCGTGGGGAGTTTGGTAATAGAGAAAAAGAAAAGGGAAAAAAATAGAAGAAAAAAAGTCGGCCGGGTCTTTCAACGCGTGACACCGACGATCGCGGAAAATTCGCAGAGAGAAGGAGAGACAGAGAGGGTGAGAGAGGGAGGAGAGAAGATAGTGCCTGTGTGCTCGGTGAGATAACGGCGACTTGTGAATCGCGATAATAATCAGCCGACGAGCAGGGTGACAGTGCGCTTGGCAGCGGCAAGAAGCAAGAGAAAGCGAGAGAGACAGAGGAAGGAAGGAAGGAAGAAGAGAAGGCACTGCGGCACGTTGACGGAGCCCGCGACGACGACGTACGATTGCTGTCACTAAAGGTGAGTGCCTTTTGCCGTCGTCTGCGACCGACACGGCACACATTGCGGAGCGTCGTCGCACGTGAACGTGGATCCGGACCAAGCGAACGAGCACGAACACCTGCGAACGAGCGTGAAAACTCCGAAAAACGACGTACACCGTGTATCACTGAAATATAAAGTTGGGGGCGGACGTTGAACGTAAAAACCCCGCGCAATTACGAGGGACACTTCGAGAGAGAAGGTCCTACGCACCTCCAAATTTGGAAATATCTCGCGATAGTGTCTCCAAATTCGAGGTACGTACCTTTACGTAGGGGTTTTTTTTTTTATTTCAACGTGCACCTCCAACTTCGGCGACACACGGTTAACAGCGTACGAGCAAAGAAACACACGTTTTCTTCGATGTATCGCCACGAGATCGGACATGTTCGCTCCTGTTCCTGGCGGGTTCTGACGAGTCTTCACGGTGCCACACGCATTTTTTGGGACTCGCTTGGTCGCTGGGTCCACCTTGAGGAAACTTTCGCGCTCGAACTCTACCCCCCTCTCTCTATTTCTCTCGCTCTTTCTATCTCGATGTTGCTAATTAACCGGCCCGATCGGCCACTCGTGGTGCGCGCTCCGGTTTAATTAGTTCCAGTAACGCGAGATCGACGGCGTTTCGCGTCGTCGGGGAAATTTACAGAGGGGAAGAGTCAGACGCTCGGTTCCGCATCTCCGACGCGGTTTCCCGGAGCAGTTGACCCGCGACAAACACGAGGCACAACCGAGAACTCTTCCGTCTCGCCGACGAAGTCACAAGACGCTCTTCGTCGCGCTCGAAAATTGACGCGTGTCGCAATCGACGCCTCTTCAAGAGGACCGTCGCACCGGCATTTCTAACGTCGAGAAAAACGTATCTCGGGAGAATAGTTCTCAGCTGTGCGAGAAAGAGCGAGGGAAGAACCAGGACGAGGAGGCGCGCGCGTCGGTCATCGGCCGTCACCTTGACAGGTCGCGTGATCCGCGCGTCGTCCTGAACGACTCGTGTGTGCGCGCACCGGCCGACGAGTGCTGTTTGCGACGTATTATTGTGTACCCGTCGCCAATCGCGCGCGGATTGACCGACCCCGAGCGATGTCAGCGGTGCGGTAATCGCGTCATGCGCGTCTTTCGGCGCGACGAGACGCGATCGGTGACGCTCGGCGAGAGGCGCGCTTTGTGCCCGACAATTTCTCGGCAATTGAGCAACTCCGCCGGCACGCAATTAATAATGCGGCCTCTCGCGAGATAGGGGCGAGAGATAAAGCGGACGAGCGTGCGAGAGGACGAGCGGGAAAGAGCGGGCGCTTATCGAGGCCCGCTCGGGCAGTTAAATGATCGCGATAGCGACGATGCGGAAAGCGCATCCCGGCCGCGACGTTGTCGCGCGTTACGGACGCGGCGCGGCTTGACACGGTGAGAAATTCGACGTTAAGTTCAACATGTTCCGAATGATCCACACGAATTTCTATCGTTGAAGCGAGGTGATATATTGCAAATTAACACAGATTATGTGAAAAGTTGAGGGGAAATTAATACTTTAATGGAACGCAAAATGTGCTGTTTTATTTTGACATCTATACATGTGGGATACCGGCTCAACGCAGAATGTTGAGATAATACGAACAAATATGTTAAATTAACACATGGATATGTTAGAAATTTAACACAGAAACGTTGAAGTGCAAAATGCGTTATTTTAACATCTACACATATTGAATATCGACTCAACGCAAAACATTGAGATAACGTCGTAAACAGAATCTATTAAATTAACACACGGACGTGTAAAGAATTTTAACAAGGAACAATATTTTAACAAGGAACCGTTTTTAACACGAATACCAAATGTTATTTACTGTGTACTCCCGCTGTACAATAGAACATAATAGAACACAATAGAAAACATTTTGTATTTATATTAAAATTGGTCCTCGTTAAAAATTATGTGAAAATTTTAACGTATCCTTGTGTTAATTTAACATATTACGTTTATGTTACCTCAATATTTTGTATTGAATCGATATTCAATACGTGTAAATGTTAAAATAACACATTTCAATGTCGATTAATGTTATAGATGTTAATTTTGTGTGAATTTTTGACATAATATTCGCGCTACTTTTCCGCATATTCACCTTGTGTTAAATTAACGCGAAAATTTGGCCGGACCATTTGGGACATGTGAAATGTGTTAAATTTAATACTTTTTATTGTGTACACATTAATCGTGTAGACTCGTCGTCGTATGAATATGCTCGCGTCACTCTCGGCGCAAGGATAACGAAGCGGAAAAGTGATTCACGCGCACGTGAGAATTTCTCCACGTTGCTGGAGCAACGTGAAGTCGCGCGTCGCACGCGGGTCCGCGAAATTTTCGAGGGGGTGGTTCGCGCGCAGCCCTTGAGCGTTTACCGGAAATCTACGACTGCGGGCAACTACGCCACTGGTTGCTTCCGCGCGCGGTAACTAATTCTCGTCACGTAAGTTCGTATGTGCCTGTGTGTGTACACGTGCAGCGTACACACGTCGCGCGTTGCGACGAACGAAACGATTTCTAACGTTCGAACGACTTCGCCAACTGATCACTCGAGCAAGTTTTCCTGATCGATCGATTGACCAATCGACCCACCCGACCGGTACGATTAGTCGCCGAAATACCGCGCCGAGGTAACGCGATCCACCGCGTACATAGTAAAAAATGAAATGTTTCAACTTTTTCAACACTTTTTATTCATTATACATATAATATTTTATATCATTTTTTTAAATACATAATTTTAACATTTTCTACATATCCCAGAAAATTCAATCTAAATTTTAAATCGAAATAAATTATTCGTCGTGTGTTTCTCGTTCACAAATTGAAAATGTTAATGAATTGACTCTGACACATTTTCTTCCAACGCATGATATTAATAATTTCGACATAAATTTTATTCGTAATAGTAACATTATATTTAATTAAATTCATATATTCATAATGTTAAATATAATAAGTACTATTTTCACGCTAAAAAGGTTATCATTTTTTTTTTATCTGCTCTTAAAGTGTCGTCAATGACTGTGCTTGAAATCTTCTTAATTATTATTCTGAATTATATGTTATTTAGTTAATTCAATTAATATTTGAAAAATATGGTTACTACTGACGATACACGAACTCCGGAACTTTGGATCTTGAATAACCTATCTTACATATTACATCACTGTTATGTTTTAGCTACACATGTATTTCGTATTGTCTAAGTTCTAAGATAATAACTGTTACGTGCGGGTAAGATTAACACAACTTGTCTGTAAATTTTCACGTATAAAATATCAGTAATGATATTCAGTAAAATTAACATTGCTAATTAACAGTGAAATATAAAATGTGTTATCGTAACATTTATACATGATTTATATCAATTTAATACAAAATATTCAGATTACAAACATAGTATGTTAAAATCACTAAGCAATTGTGTTAAAAAAACTTGAGATATTTCATTTTTAAATGATAATAAACGTTAAGTTACTGAATTGGCACAAATATAACCCATGAAAACGTCATGAAAATGGTGACATGTCAGCTACAAATTAGCTTACATTGAAGCGATAATTCTGAAATTGTTAAGACAAGAAGATTTTAACATTTGGACACAAGATTTCGCACTGTGTATTTCCCCGAGATTTTAATTCCGTCTAATTGTCGGTCATAACGTTTTCGCGATCGATTCGCTGCTCAAATAATTAACTTGGCGCAAAATCGGTGCCGGGCGAGCAGGCGAGTGCGTCGAAATAGGCTACCTTTGTCAGTGAAGCGCAAATTGTACCGCCGAATTCGGCGATAATATTTCGAAATTGTGTAAACAGCGCGCTGTGCCGCCCGCATTCATATCGAGAGAGAGAGAGAGAGCGGTTTACACACCGCCGTTGAATAATTCTATCACTTTAATTAGCAAGGTTTATAGTAGCAGATCAGTGCAACGCGCTCCCCTGCCCGATCCTCCTGGTCGGGCAAATGATTCGATCCTACGCGCATATTATTCGCCTCACCGGCGAGTCGCTTTTCTTCGCCCTCCCCCCGAGGGATGATGTACGGGGGTTGCGCGGATTGTTGTAAATATAGCGCGTCGGACAGTGACTAAAGGCGAGAACATCAATCAGCAGTCGTGCGAGCCATTGTGCTCCACGCGACTTGATAATAAATAGCGCCTTCCGCTCTCGCCGGTTATAATTCCTCTTCCCGATCGGCTCTGTCTCTTCTCTCTATCTCTCTCTTCCTTCATCTCCTGCCGTGTCTTGTCTCTCGGTTCTCTCGCGCGCGTTGCTTTTTTCTACCGCCTCGCGCGTTCTAGTCGGACGCGCAACGATCGCGGGCACGAACGCGTCTGTGTGCAGCCCGGGTGCCGCGAACAGGTGTCTAACTACCGACTGCCGTTCGTACCTCTACGGCTATAGCACCGTGCGAGCGAGCGAGAGAAGAAAGAGAGACGGAACAAGAGAGTAGGTGCCTTTATTGTAGCTTTATTGTACTTCTTGCTTCCTGCGGATCGCTCGAATCCGTACAATTACACGTTGAACTGCGAGCGTAGGATAGCGCCCGCAACTCGCCTGTCTATCGATTAACCATTAGCGAAATTAATGACGCCCGTAGACAATAGAATAGCGCTATAAAGCTTAAGAAAGCGAATTAGATACGAGACATCCGTGCAGATTGCGCTAGTCGCGCGTGTTTATGTCGGTCTACGTGATCTGCTTTCAATGAAGCGCCAGTAAGGGAGAGAGAGAGAGAGAGAAAGTAGAAAGGAAAGAGGGAGGGAAGGAAAGAGGTTGCTATGCCACGTCTAATTCATTTCCCCGGGAGAGTCGCTCGCTCGCGAGTAAACGCTCGGCTGAAAAATTCCGTCGAGAGAATTCGACTTCCCGGCGTCGTCGTTGTCATCGAGGACGCGCGTCGAGCGAGTATCGCGACGGCAAATTACGTAGTGCTCGCAGAAATCGCATCTCGA